AACTCCCAGAATTCCCCAGCCTGGGGAATTCTGGGAGTTGAAGTCCACACATCTTAAAGTTGACAGAGTTGAGAAACCCTGCTCTAGAGGTATCTTTATTCTCTCCTGCTGCCTATCATTGTTTGGCTGATTCTTGCACATTGGTTGTTTTAGGGTTGGCATAGGTCACCTTCTCCAGCCAAGCATCTCCATTTCTCCTGGGCTTCCTAAGCTGGCCACAAATGGCAGATCCAGCAGACTGGGAGGACACCAGTTGGGGAATGCTCAAATTCAGAAGCTGTTGCTTCTTAAAGTCCTTCTACTTCCTTGGCTGAGAATTTGGGGAGTTGAAATCTAAGCCCTGTGGAGGACACCAGGTTGGAGAAGGCCGGCTGGAATGCCACGAGAAAGCAGCAGGATGCTCCAGTTGTTAAGCAGACAAATAACCTTGCATGGAACTCCTGAAGGCCCCACCTCTTGCCCCTCTAAAATTATGTGGTGCAATTATGCAAGTCAGTGCATAATTTTTAAGACTTACAATGCCATTTAAAGGCTTCTACCTGAGCCTGCCCGCCTCCCTGCCTCCCTCCCTTCCTTTTTTCTGGGTTTTTAAATTTCCTTCAGTCATTTTTCTGCTGAGACCACTGTTTTGAATGTGACTGATGGCCAGCACTCTCCAGAAGCACCTTTCCGTCACCCGCCCTGATCCTCTTTAAGCAAATGATGCCCCTGAGAATTTGCCTGCCAAATATCTGCTCTGCCCAGTTCTCTGTTTTACCTGTATTTCTCATAATGCTTCACCTCCTTCAGGTAAGGGCGGCTAACGTTCTCTGCCTTCACCAGGGCATCATGCATGGGACGGGTCTGATCAGAGATGGGGAAGTCCTCTGCAACAAACTGGACCTTTTGGGCAGCTTTCTCAATGTCCGTCTTGAGGTCTGCAAGGAAAGTGAAGGGTTACGATCAGTGGCCTCCACCATGGCAGGCAAGTGACATCACGGTCCTCATGCCATCACATAAATGATGCACAGGGGTCATGATCACCATATCATCCACCAAGCACCTACACTTACTTACTTACTTATTTATTTATTTGGCTTGTATGCCGCCCATCTCCCCCACGGGTGACTCTGGGCGGCTCA